CACACCTTCCGTAATGAGCTCCCGGAAGAGGTCGTTCATCATGGTCTGGAAGGTGGATGGGCTATTCGTCAGTCCGAAGAACATTACCAACGGTTCGAAGAGTCCGCGCGTAGTCCGAAATGCGGCCTTCCACTCATCACCCTCCTTGATCCGGACATTGTTGAAGCCCCACCGGACGTCAAGCTTGGAGAAGTAGCGAGCATTCCGGAGTTTGTCCACCAAGTCCGAGATGAGCGGAAGTGGGTACCGATTCTTGACCGTCATGTTGTTGAGCTTCCGGTAGTCCTGGACCAAGCGGAGCGATCCATCCTTCTTCTTAACAAAGAACACCGGGGCAGCCATGGGCGACTTGCTGGGGCGGATCCGACCAGTCCGGAGATTTTCTTCCAGGAATTCGTCCAGCTGTTTCTGTTCCGCCGGGGACAGCGGGTAGCACTTGGTAGAGGTCGGTTCCGCTCCGTCCAGTAGCTCAATGGCATGGTCCCACGGACGCGGCATGGGCAGTTCATCAAAGGACTCCTTGGCAAAGACGTCCTCGAATTCCTGGAGGAAGTCCGGGACTGCGCTGTTCCGAGGGTCGTGGGGTTTGTTGCGCTGGAAAGCCAATGCAAGGCGCTGCGAGACTGTCTCCGAAGCCCGAATATGTTCTTCCTGAAAACTCCGAAGGTACTCCGGAGTCGGAGGAGGAATAGCCACAAAGATACGGTCACCCCTCTCAAGTCCGGAGTCGTCCGGAGTTGTGACATTGTCATCCTCATCATCATCCTCGCAGTCCTGAAGCTCTGGGAGATCGTCCGAGTGCAGTTCCTCAACCCTTGGCATCGGACCCGTACGACACTCCCGGAGTCGCACGGACTCCTTGCGTCGGGTCAGCTTGTCATGGCGGAACTCCTTCCGACAGGTGTCGCATCCGGACGGACAGCGGCTCATGGTCACCTCCTTCGTCTGCCAGTCGATCTCGGGGTTGTGCTTCCGAAGCCAGGTGTATCCGAGGATGATGTCCTGCCGTCCGATGTTAGTGACTGCGAAAAGCATCCGTTCCGTGTGATCCTTGAACCGGAGTACAAGGTCCACGACTTCGGAGATAGATCCGTTCTCATTTGGTGATCCGTCAACGTTGAAGACTGGAATCGGGGCGGACAGCTTGCGTCGGGTGAAACCATGGGCATCAGCAAAGCGCGGATGCATGAAGACTCCGGTGGCTCCGCAGTCCACCAGGGCCTGCAGGGTGCATCTGTGTTGTGTATCTGTGCTCTGCACTTCAACGGGTATATCTAGCGAAAGCTTGCCGGGCAGCGCGGAGATCTTATAGCTACTGGGTAGCCGCCGTTCCCACTGCGGGCGAAACCTTCGGAGTGTGCGGATTGTAACCGGAGTTGCTTGCTTAACGTCGGACGAATCATCGGAGTGATTGGAATCGTCTATTTCGTCTACGCTAAGACAAGCAAATCGGTTATTTACCAACGAGGTCGCACTGATCACTCGTTGGTCCGGACAAAATCCGGCGTGTCCGATTCCTCAACCGGGGCCGTTCCCTCATCGTCTATCCCTTCCGAGGTCCCCGCACTTTCTACAACATCGGCTGCGGTCAGGAGATCTTCAATGGCGGACATCCGCTCCTCGGTGGTCATGAACCGGACGTCGTACCGAAGTGGGCACTCGCGGGACATGTGGCCGGGCTTGCCGCATCGGTAGCAGAGCTGTGAAGCGGCGGGCCGGGAGCGGGTGTGGTCGACGTCCATGGGGACGCCGGGTGAGAGAGCCTTCGGAGGAGGCGGAAGTTGGAAGCGGGGTTGCAGAGGCGGGAGCTGAGTCCGAGGCGCGGGGAGTACACCCGCAGGAGTCCGAGCGACTCCGGAGCTGGCTGCTGGTCGGACGAGGGATCCGGAGTTTCCGGAGTGCACGCCGAAGTGGAAGGACTGGTTGGCAGCACGGTTGTCAGCAACCCGCTGCGCTGCCTTGTACCATCCCTCGAAGTCATCCTCGTCCGGACAGTCTGCGGACTCGGCAACACGGCTCTGGATGATGGAGTCCAATCCGCGGCGGAACTTCATCGTGATGTTGGAGCCTTCGGAGTATCCGGATTGGTCTACAAGGTCCCGGAACTCGTCGAGGTACTCCTGGAAAGTCCGACGCCCTTGGTGGTATCGGGTGGACTCCAGCTTGAGCATGGCGGCTTCACGTTCCCGATCCGGAAGGAAGCGAGTCCGGAATTCGGTCGCGAAGGCGGCCCAGGATTCGAAGTACGGATCCTTCGGACTCCGGAGCACCATGTCCGCGTACTCCTTGGCGCGATCCTTCTGGAAGAAGGAGAGACACCAGAGGATTTTGGCCTGCTCGGTCGGAAAGTGGTCCGGACAGAGCTGGAAGTAGATGGAGCACGCATTGTAGAACGCGCGACCATCTTTGCGGTTTCCGTCGAAGATTGGGGGAGAGGCGGGCTTCAAACGGGAACGCGGGGTGATTTCGGATCGACTCGGGGCGTGCTGGGAGGCTTCAGTGCCCCTCAGCTCGGAGTCCGGAGTCGTTTTCGGAGTAGTCGGACGGGGTGTTAAGAGGAGTCCTTCGATTCGGGCAAGTGTATCCTGGATGGAGCTGATTTGGGTTTGGTGTTCGTACGTCTGAGCCCACAAGGTCTGCAAAGTCTCGGAGTCCGGTCCTGAAGCGACTGGCTCGGATGGCGGGATCTGGCTGGAGGCGCCCGGCATTTCGGAGTCGTCAGGAAAGCGAGGGATGGAGTTCCTTGGGTCCTCAGAGGTGGGTGGGAGTAGCAGGAGAGCGTCCGGAATGTCCGCAAAACCGGAGAGACGTCGAGAACGAGTCCGAAGTGGCGCAGGACGTTTTCCGTAGGGCTCTGGTGCCAGGATGGGAAATCCTGTTCTGCTGTAAGGGCAACCTCAAGATGGCCGACAGCGCAGGCCTAGCAGAGGGAGAATCCAAAGATAATGAATAAGGCTAACTACAATACATGAGAGGGCTGCTCACCTAGCAGAGGGAGAATCCAAAGAGAACAGGATAAGGATTCTCCATGCTAGGAAGCGAAGTATATACTGTAGTAGCGTGAGAGGAATGCAGGATAACTGTACAGTACACCAGCCACAAGTCCGAACAAATATCACAAGGTACAAGGAAACATGTGATAATGAAGTGGAGGGTAAATGCACAGGAGTCGTGCCGGCGACTTGGGGAAGTAAGGGCGAAGAGTAATGAAGTGGGGGAAAAGGATAGAGGTAACCCGGACGAGCCCCGAAGAGTATAGATGAGCCCGAGCGAGTCCGAAGTGTCCGAGACGAGTCCGAGCGAGTCCGAAGTGTCCGAAGTGCGGGAAGACTCCGGAGTCACCGGACGCGGCTCGGATGCGAAAGGAGTGGGTGGAAAGGAAGTGGAAAGGAAAGGGAGCGAAAAGGAACGAAGGGGAATGAAGGGAATGTAGGTAAGAGTCCATGGGATGAAGGAAAGGAGAGAAAATAGGAGTGTCCCTTTACAATGAAAAGGGAAAACGTAGACCAGCCCGTTATGGATCCATTCCTATGGATAGTACCCAAGCAAGGTATTCTCAGCCCAAACTTGAATTGTATGGACTATATCGAGCACTTCGACACTGGCGTCTCTACATAATTGGAGCAAGAAGATTAATTGTGGAAGTAGATGCAAAATATATTAAGGGAATGCTAAAGGAACCAGACTTACAGCCCAGTAATGCTATGAATCGGTGGATTCAAGGCATTCTAATGTTTGATTTCCAATTAGTTCACATTCCTGGTGTCAAGTTTAGAGGTCCAGATGCACTTTCAAGAAGACAACCCCACCCAGATGAATTCGTACCAGATGATGATGAATGGCTTGATGAAATTGCACTACCAGTATTCATGCCAAATCCCTTCGAAACAGATACTTTCCGTATAGAAAAGCCCCTATATTCGACCCCTATGGTACTCCTTACCTTACCCTCGTCAGCCAAGTCATCAAAATATGAAGATATGTTTCATGACATTATTAAATATTTGAAGACTTCGGAGTTACCACCGTTAGAATTTATCCAAAATCAGGATAGGTTTCTGAAGAAAGTCAAACCATTCTTTCTTTATAATGGAGAATTATATAGACGGACTACACAAGAATCTCCTTGTCATGTTATTATTGATCAGAATCAAAAGGAGAAAATTCTATACCAGGCACATGACAAACTAGGGCATAAAGGAGAACAAGCTGTCTTCGAACTTATTCAGCTTAGATTCTATTGGCCTAGTCTTCGCGCAGATGTTCATTTCTATATTGCATCATGCCATGAATGTCAGATTAGGAATACAAAGTTATTCAAAATGGCTTATGAAATATCTGCACCAATATGAATATTTGAAAAGGTGTATATTGACCTTATGAAGATGCCTAAATGTGCGGGATATGAATTTATTATTGCCGCCAAAGATGATCTTACTGGTGTAACAGAAGCAAGAGCTCTACGAAATAAAAGCTCTGCTAACCTTGCCAAATTCTTTCTGGAACAGATTTATTACAGATACGGAGCCATTGGCCGAGTTGTTACTGATAATGGATCAGAACTAGAAGGAGCATTTGCAGACGTCATAAAGCGACTTAGGATTCCACATGTTAAAATCACTCTGTATAACAAAACAGCTAATGGAGTTGTGGAAAGAGGACATTATATTCTCAGAGAAGCTATCGTTAAATCTTCCCCAAAACGACTTGACGGAACAATTATTCAATGGCATAAACAAGTAGAATTGGCAGTCTTTGCAGACAAAGTGACCGTCAGTTCAGTAACTGGCTATTCGCCTTATTATCTGTTACATGGAGTACATCCAGTCCTACCTTTGGACTATACAGAAGCAAGTTTTCTTGTGACTGGCTTCAAGCCAGAAATGGATACTTCAGATTTATTGGCATTACGAATTCAGCAATTGGAGAAACGTCCTAATGATATTATTGCCGCATCAGAGACTCTCAGGAAAGCTAGGTGCAAATCTAGAGACCAATTTATGAGACGTTTCAAGCATCGCATTCAGAAAACTACTTATAACGTTGGAGATCTGGTACTAGTACGGAATAGTCAAGTAGAAGATACATTAAGTGCCATGAAGACCCAGCCACGTTATCTCGGCCCCTATCGAGTTGTGGAAAGAACCTCTAATGGAAATTATGTAGTACAAGAATTAGACGGTACTATACTAGCAAAACCTTTTGCTGCATTCCGCATTATGAGCTATATTTCCAGAGATGACCCAATTCTGAATCATGATGCTATAATTGATGAAATATCAGAAGACGAGTTAGTAGAAGAAATAGCACCGGAATCTGAAGAAGAAGAAGCCCCTATCTAGAATTGTTAAGCAAGGAGTTGACCCTGAGTATGCAAAATGAGCGACAAACACATGTAATTCCCCTTCCCATTCCTTTTCGATTCGCACCACCAGCATCTACGCTCTATACCAGTAATGTCATCCAGCTCGCACAGTTCTATCAGTGAAGCCGCCTTCACTATAATCACCACCACTCATTACACCAATACGCCATCATCACAATTACACGGTGTCCCTTTACCAATACCCCCCGCGCCAATCACACCACCACCACCAGTACCAACTTCGTTGCCATCAGCGCCTGATGATGAAGGCTTACCTAAACCGGAAGCCATCATTAACGTGCCTAGTTTCTTCGCTGTCCCCATCATGGAGCAAAGGTTTTTGCCCACATTGATGGATTATCGCCGAAATGTCATCAGCGTTGAAGAAAGAGAGGTCGTAACTCGGTTGGGTGGAGAGAGTCATATCCTCCTCATTCCTGAACAACGCCTTTACGTTGGGGATTGGATTGAAGTGCCAAAGAAAGGATTAGGGCATGTCGTTGAACAGAAAGTAATGTGTGGCAGGTACATTTTATTGCGCATTCGTGTTCATGGGAGACCTCCTATTGCTCATGAATTATATTTATTCGAGTATCATGCCTGGATTGATGCAGGAGATCTAGTTCTGTCCTGGCATGATCGTTGGCAAAGTTTTAAAGAATGTATACTTCGTAGGAGTTTTGTACTTGCGGAACCCTCATATGTATGATTCTTATATTCTTATGTTTCATATCCTGCTGGTCAAATGTATCGTATTTTCATGTCATCATTTTCATCTATATGTGATGCCTAGGAAATTTGAAACATATAAGAAGTGGATATTTAATGTTGCCTGCACATAGGCACTAGAAACGGAAAAATAGTTCGCTAAACAATATAGCAATCTCTTCGAAAAGATAGGAAATAATAACGTGATATGATGCCATTAGGTGTCGAAAAGAACGACCCTACAAGATACAGGAGAGAAATATAAAATGCCCTCGTCACCCTACAATTGCTGAGTCCCAGCAGGCGTATCGTAAGAAAATAAGACGTTAAAGTACCACAAGCTTGGCATGCTGAAATATTCCTGGAAAAGATATTATATGGCACTAAAAAAAAACTGATATCATCGTAGAGAAAATATTCGCTATAGAGAGCTAGGTCTTCCATAAGAAAAATCTAAGTTTTTTTCCACGGTTCGACCAATGTGAAAGTGACACGTCTTAATAAAATTGCTTATAAGCAGTGATACATTTAGACAAGCACTACGATAAACTCGAAACAATATGGCCACCACAGCAAATGTTCCTACCAAACCACTTTCTATTATCCCCGCCGCCCTCACAAAGAATGGAACATTCTTTCGTAACCAATACATCATCGTCTTCGACCCATATCTTTCATCAAACCCATTTCCTATTCATCCTGACGATGCTATCCTTGCCGGCCTTAACAACTATTGCGACTTCACTCTCCTTAACAACCTCCCTGCTGACTTCGATATCCAATACGACACTAAACTGGACAAATGGGTACAATTAGTGAATCCTCCACCCCACACGAACATCATCCTCATCGAGACCATGAGGAATATCACCTCTCAACTTATCTATAAAGTCATCATGGAAGCAAGCAACATTCCCATATCGTCTAGCGACCTTATTTTTCATCCTCGCCTCGGAGTAGGGATCGCTCAGGGAATTATCAACCAACTAGGTCATTATCTTCAGATATTGATTTCTTTTCGCAACCATGGAGATACGGGAGGATTAGTAACTTTTGTGGCGGTATGGATTCATTATACTCGTGTTTCCATTCATACTGGTGCGCTTGAGTTCATACAGAATAGTATGAATGGACCGGTAACGGACTTCGACTTAATTAATGATTCGCTTATTAGGTTAACTGATACCAAGTACCAAGTAGATGTAGTATTTACTACTATGATGAGTACTTAGGTATCAAATTGTTATTGTCATGGACTATATATTTATGCTCTCTATTCACTTGTGGACAATGTGAATGAAGCTTAGCTCGCAATCGGGGACGATTGATTTAATGTTGCCTGCAGATGTCATACTCCAAATTGGGATTTGTAGTAAGTGACATGAATATTAGAGTTTTGTAGCTATTTCATACGCTACTATAAAACCAAGGCATACACTCGCAAATTGAGTCAAGTCAAACGGACCTCATATAACGATCATAGACATTATTTCCTACTTTCCCCTATTTACTCCTGGGACCCCTAATTAATATTCCAACATCCTAGTAAGTCAACAAGTCTTAAATCACTATGTTACATGACAAGTAAAGATTGCGGAAATGACAAGAACTGTACGGAAAGTTGAAGCACTTTACGGAACCTTCTAGTATTTTGCAAATACTTATCAAAGTGACATTAGATCTTGTTCATGAAAAGCTCAAATAACTTGAAAGACATACAAGAACATAGTCGGCCCAATAGAAATGGCCCTGGATCACTGCCTGGCAATTCTGTGTCAGTACCAAGCAATTGCGCTGGATAAAGAACCGATCTACACACCTTTGGGGATCCGTAACATCATGACAATCAGAGTCCAGTGCGTAGGGGCACCGTGGATGTCGGTGTGCCATGTTGATTGCCAACCAATTGACTGGCTAAATATTTGACCCCATGATGAGGTGTTCATCTGCACGCTGGTGGGTCCAGAGAACAAGCCCCCGAAACTGAATGTATTATTGTCAGTGGCGTCAAACTCGACCAGATTGTGTTCGAGCTTGGACACACTTCGAGGAAGAATAATCTGCCAGAGCCGGTTAAGGATCTGGAGGATCCTCCCTATTTGCTTGCGGACTTCGGGAGTATCTGTTTGTACAGCGGGCATAAAGATACCTGAGCCTTGCCCTTCACCCAACGTAGAAGCAAGATTGTAAGAACCGTCAAACCCGGGTGAATCTTTATCATCGCCCGATCTATTGTTGCGTTTTAGTCCAGGAGCAGTGTATATCGGTGGGCAGGCAGTTTGTCCGGTCGATGGATCCGCGTTGCACCCAAATGTTAGCCCACGCAACTCCTCAGCCAGCATCTCAGCCTCATCCCCAACCGCTCCATATTCCTTCAAAGATTCAAGCGTGTGAGCACAAGCTATTGTAAGAACCGCCCCAGTCGGGAGCTCATGAGTGTAAGGAATGCCTGGAAGCATCTCAACCATCTCTGGCAGGGGGTCCCAGCATATCGGCCCTCAGAGTCGATGTAAGTCGGGGAAGTCTCAGGGGGGGTGTCCACGTTCTTGAGCCTCTCGAACTCTATTCGCTTTTTGTACGTATGAAATCCCGCATTAGAGGGCGAATCTGAGCGGTAGGCAGTGCCCGTGAAGCTCTACGGGACCGCGTTGTGTGCCGTCGTTCCATGCGAATTCGGGGTCATCGTTACCGTCGACGGTTATCGTAGCTCGCAACGATCCGTTGCGATATATATATACGGTCGCGGATAGTTCGAGTAGCGCAGATTCCGACGCGCCTCTGTACTCAGAGTCGTCAGTCGCTGAAGCATGCATATGGCGATCCTTACGTGATAAAGAGAGTGTCTCTCTTCTTGATGCAATTGCCAAAGCGTAGAATCGCGGCGTTGTAAACGTCCATCGCGAGTTTGTGAGTAACGTCTGACGTATAGTATGTTTGGTTGATTGACATGATTCTGTAAGCAAGTGGGGGTTAGAGGAGGCAGAAAAAAGCCATATGAAAGGCAGGGCGTACCTTGCAGCAACATTGTTGTTGGTGGTGGTGAGGAGGAGGGAGGTTTGATGGCTCAAAACATTTATTTGTACCTACCTATCGTTTGTAGTACCTACTAGCCATTGCAAATACAAACGAAGACACCCTCTGCGCGTCCATCCCACTCCCAACTCTCCTCGCTTTGTGGACGATCCCACAATTAAAACCTACGCAGCGAACCAACAAAAAGGTGAACACACAAATCAAATTTTTCACTTACTCACTCATGGACCAGGGCGCACGATACCCGAAATCTTTCACTAATTACTCACTCATGGACTCGCTCCACTCACCGTACGCTGTGACGATATGTTATTCTGCTGATCATTCAAGGTGACGCGTCTGCCTATTCCCTCTAAGGTATCGCCGTGTTTCGTTGATAGGCGTCAGCAGCCACGGTGTATCACCGTTCCATAGCGTCGTGGATTGCGTGGTTAATCTTGTTGATCGAGCCGTCACTGAACCAAAAGTCCCAGAAATGGGTCTTCATCTCCGTAATCAGACTGCGATCCAAGTGGGAGACTGCGTTATACACTGTAGGATACAGTAGCTGTCAGAATACCGCTTCGCGTGGATTACAGGATCGCTCACCTATTAATAGGAAATCCGAGGCCAAATATGCCTGCACATCCAGCATCGAGGACACTTGTGTTTGTATCATTGAATCTGTCGTAGCACTACACGTTCGTGGCGACTTCGACGCGGCCGGCCACCCAGATCCTGCTGATCTTCTCGTCGATAGAACATCATCCACACGTAGGGGTTCTCGCAAACGGAACCCGTTCGTGACGCTCGCGTAGCCACTATGGTCCCAGAACATCCTACCCCTACCCGCATACCATTAACCCTACGCTCCCCCGCCCTGACCTTCCCCAGAAACCCCATTTTGTCGATATCCTGTTGATCACCCACCGTCGTCGCGCTCATAGGCTGGCCGTTCGTGACTCTGATGGACAAGCGGCACGGGAGTAGCTCGATTCATTGACGCAGAGGCGAGCAATTGAGGCGCTATATGCGTCATTCCTTGCAAGTACGATATCATTTCTTTCGTTGGACGTAACAAGGTGTCCTATTTGCCGTACGTTTCCAACTCGGGGAACGCCGTAGGTGACTTGGATTTGTTACGAGCAAGATGGGGCCGGGGGAGGCGATTCAGAGGGTGCAGGCCTTCGTGTCGTCGTATACCAGGGCTCTCCTAGGCCAATATGCGCGTCGGTTCTTTTCTATGCTTCGGCTGATGGCAAGTTTTTGTGTAGGTTCCTCCGGATCTACCCTCATGCGCTCATTCAAAGCATTGATCGCTTTGGATATTCAACTGCGCGAAAATGAGTACTAGTCTTAAGTGAGGTGACCGCAAATGATAGGGAACGAGAGTGAGCTGTGTTTGTCTCACATGGTGTCCCTTGGAGTGTCTAGCGTCCAACGTGCGATGTCCAGAAGTAAGTCATCCCACACGCTTGTTGTGTCCCCTTCAACTCAGCAAACTCGCCACTGCTGCCTGCTTCCGCTGCGTGCTCCAACGCCCACTCAATCATAGCCACTATCTGCCCTGCCAAAAAGCGCATCGGCCGTCGGCCACATTGTACGCATCATGATCAGCCTTAGATCTAGATTAGGACGTATCTTTCAGTTCAATCGAATGAAGGCAATTGCAATGTCCCGACTCACAGATTACCCTTGATTTTGGTGGGCCGACATCCTTCGCACTTGCAAAATCATGCAGAGTCTAACGAATCACTGAAGGCCGGGAGCTCTAAGCTAATTCCTTTCTCTCTTGCTGCTGCCTAACTTTCAACTGAAGTGAGCATTTCATGATCAGAACCAGCGGAAACCCCACACCGATTTCTAGATAGGTTTTGCTCCAGGCCAAACTAGTATCATTTCTTAAAGGCACATTACATGTGCATGTACAGGAGCGTAAAAGTTGACCATCCAAGAGGGTCCAAGTCTCAAGCTTAAGTACAGCATTGAACACTGTACTTCTCGAGCCTTGGGGAATGAACGTTAACAACGTTAACGTTGTTTTAAAAGCAGTGATGCCAGCCAATTCCACTGCAGCACGTGCGAGGAGTCAGCAATGTCACATGATCAATGTAAATTTAGAGCCCATATCAGGAAATCTAAACATTGCAGCTCAGCCTAATTACCTCTAAATAGTTGCAACTATTTATTGTGAGGGAAAAACGTGTTGTCTGCGTTGCAAGTCGAACATGATCATGAGTGGCCAGTACTTCCAGCCCATACCATCCTCTAGACCTTGGTTATTCACCCGACGTTCTCGCGTTACAAAGCTCTCCGTCCAGCTCACATGGTCTGACGTCCGTATCAAGATGTTATATTTGCGGGGGTTCACGACGTTAACTGTGACAGATAGTTCGTGGTTGCCCCAAAAGACGTATCCGACATCAAAATCGCAGCTAGCATTGGAAACACGATGTGGGATCAATGCAGCCATGCAGAGAAAATCTCTACGTACACCGAAACTCTTTGGCCTGGTGTTGTTGAAGTCACCGAAGGGCCTCATAGATCAAAAAAATGGGTCGGTGAGTAATTGCTCTAAACTCGATCACACCGTATCTTCGCAACCATTCCTCCTCCGACTCCGGAGTACCTTCGGAGTCTTCGGGAAGAACACGTCCGAGCTTCAGAGACGGTCTCGCAGCGCCTCGCATTGGCTTTCCAGCGCAACAAGCCCCACGATCCTCGGAACAGCGCAGTCCCGGGCTTCCTCCGAGAATTCGAGGACGTCTTTGCCAAGGAGTCCTTTGATGAACTGCCCATGCCGCGTCTGTGGGATCACGCCATTGAGCTAGTGGACGGAGCGGAACCGACCTCTACCAAGTGCTACCCGCTGTCCCCCGCGGAGCAGAAACAGCTGGACGAGTTTCTGGAAGAAAATCTCCGGACTGGTCGGATCCGCCCCAGCAAGTCGCCCATGGCCGCCCCGGTGTTCTTTGTTAAGAAGAAGGACGGATTGCTCCGCTTGGTCCAGGACTACCGGAAGCTCAACAGCATGACGGTCAAGAATCGGTACTCACTTCCGCTCATCTCGGACTTGGTGGATAAACTCCGGAACGCTCGCTACTTCTCCAAGCTCGACGTCCGGTGGGGTTTCAACAATGTCCGGATCAAGGAGGGTGATGAGTGGAAGGCCGCATTTCGGACTATGCGCGGACTCTTCGAACCATTGGTAATGTTCTTCGGACTGACGAATAGCCCATCCACCTTCCAGACCATGATGAACGACCTCTTCCGGGGGCTCATTACGGAAGGTGTGGTCATTATCTATCTGGATGACATTCTGATCTACACCAAGACGCGCGAAGAGCATCGCCGGGTTCTCAAGCGAGTCCTAGAGATCCTCCAGCGGAACAAGCTCTTCCTCCGAGCGGACAAGTGCAACTTCGAGCAGACCAAGGTGGAGTATCTCGGAGTTGTCATCTCTGAGGGTAAGATCAAGATGGATCCCGTGAAGGTTTCCGGAGTCGCGGACTGGCCGACCCCCCAGACTCGGACTGAACTCCAATCCTTCCTCGGGTTCGTCAACTTCTACCGCCGCTTCATCAAGGACTACTTGCATATCGCCCGGCCTCTCTTTGACCTCACTTGCGCAAAGGAATGGCAGTGGAACGACTCCGCTCAATCCGCGTTTCTTCGGATCAAGGAGCTGATCACTTCGGAGCCCGTTCTGGTCTTTCCAAAGGAGGATCGGCCATACCGGGTTGAAGCGGACTCGTCGGATTACGCTACGGGTGCGGTCTTGTTGCAGCTGGATCCGGATGATGGTAAATGGCATCCTGTCGCATTCTACTCTAAAAGTCTACAGGCTGCAGAGCGGAACTACGAAATACACGACAAGGAGATGCTTTCAATCATCCGGGCGCTCGAAGAATGGCGGCACTACCTTGAAGGCGCGGAGACTCCGTTCGAGATCTGGACGGACCACAAGAACCTGGAGTACTTCATCAAGGCCCAGAAACTCAATCATCGTCAGGCCCGCTGGTCGCTATACCTCTCCCGCTTTGACTTCACTCTCCAGCATCGTCCGGGTCGGACAATGGGTAAGCCGGATGCTCTCTCGCGCCGCTCGGATCACTCGGATGGTAAGGATGACAACAAGGATGTGGTTTTACTTAAGCCGTCCTACTTTGCCGTCCGTGCCACGGGTGTCACTCTTGAAGGGGAGGAGAAGGATATCCTCATGGCTATCCGGACTGGAGTGCGGAATGCGAAGTTTGAAGATGCAGTGGCAAAGGCGGCAGAGGAGCTGAAGAAGACCCAGGGCAGTCGCAAGACAGTCCGGAGCGCGGAATGGTCTCAATCGGGCGGACTCCTGATGTTCCGGGGTAAGATCTACGTTCCGGACTCACCGGACTTGCGTCGGACCATTGTAGCTCAGCACCACGACACCAAGGTCGCAGGACACGCCGGCAGGTGG